TCATCACCGTCTTCACCATCACCATTAACACCACCATCATTATCGCCATCACCTTCATTATCACCATCACCAGCATCATCACTGTCCTTATAATTATCCCCTCATCATCATCACCATCAACACACCATCATCGCCATCCTCCTCCCTATTAGGTTCTTTGTCTCCCAAAAGCTTCTGCTTTATTTATTCCATCTGTCAGTGTTGTGCAATAGAATGACTCTTTTTTTTTTTTTTGAGAGAGATTTTTGCTATAGGCATGTGTGCTCACCAGAGAGACAGAGAGAGACAGAGAGACAGAAAGTGAGAAATCAATCCCCCCCTGAGGGAGGATGGCCACATCACATTCCCTTCTCCTCCAGTCACTCCTTGGGGTTTTAGGCACATATGCACATGCGCCTGGTGTGAGTTTTAAGCCACCGTGGTCAACTATGTGGGAGTCCAGCAACATAACTGTTACACCATCTGCTGGTCCTGGACTGCCGGGGTCTACCTCGGCTGGGGTGGGAAATTTGTTGATAAAGCTTTGTTATCTATAAGGATGCAATATCCTACTCTCTATCTTGTTCATTATATGGACGATATTTTATTGGCTCACAAAAACCTTGAGACTCTTCAGGCTGCTGTCTGGAGTTTTTTTGCTCTGATTGCAGCCGGCTAAAAACATGCTAAAAAATATTGATATTTTAGCCTAATTCTGTTCACCTGCACCACCTCCGACGAGTCAACCCACCCCCGCCGAGGCTGGACCTCTGCACTGGACTCACTATTTTTTAAATTATTACTTAAGGTATTTCCTGAAGCATATTTAAAACATTGTTACCCAGATCCTCTTACTTCTCTGCTCAGCATATTTAAAACATTGTTACCCAGATCCTCTTACTTCTCTGCTCTCTCAGAATCTTGCAGTGGCCCACCCAGACCTCCAGAGAACCTTAGGATATGTTTAAGAGGAGGTGGGGTGGAGTTAATGACATTTCCCTTGTCTGTAGTTCCTAGAATAGGACTGACCACCACAGTGTAGTGACTGGTAGTCCTATGGTCCTGAATCTCATGGCTGAAATAAGGGCCACCTTCTAACTGGGAAGGTCTTATGCACGACCATCTCATGGAAATAATTGGCAGGAGGAATGGCATGTTCACCCAGGCAGGAATTTCTCTTGGGGGCCAACTTTGCTTATTTGCTTTAAGGAGTAGGGAAGGGGACATTGGGAAAGGACTAGAAGAGGCTTTGAACACTGCATGCTAAACCTGAATGTGGCCCTCTACTCACCTTTCTGCTCTCAGAAAGCAGGAGTTCAGGTGGCTACTATAAATATAATATAAATATAATACAAAATTAATTGTGTCTGTATTCACTGTCTGCTTTGCCTTCCATTAAGAATTCTGTGATTGTGTTCTCATGTCAACGTATGCTCCATTTCATGCTCCTTCTTCCCTTCTCTTTGTTCCTTTGCACAATAAAAAAGTAATACAACGAAACAAGATCAAGCTCTCCACTGTGTGTGTCATGTTTCTTTGCCATGTGTCTTGCATGCCACTGCTTTGCTGTCCCACACCAGTGGTAGGTAGGTCATGAGCTGAAAGGACTGGTGCTGGGTCTCCAATTTCAAGTCCTAAGCACCTGTGGGAGGGGACAAGATGGGGATCCATGGTTCCTTGGTGGGAGGGTGTAGAAATGTCATCCTGCTTAGAGTGACCAATTGAGCTAATGGCCATTTGCCTAGGTGAAAGGACCATCTCTGGCCGTGTAAGTGAAGGGGCGGGGGAGGCACTGTCCTTACCTGTCTTGTCAGTCATCCTAGAAAAAAGAAGGTATGGGAGAGAAGTGGAGTGGGGGGAAGGACACATAGAGGCTGGAAGGTGGGAAGATGGCACAGAACTGGGGAAGGGTATATGGAGAGGCCAGGCCAGTCATAAGCTGTATGATCTTGGTCAAGTTGCGTCATCAACATGAACTTCAGTTTTCTCATCTCTAAAGTGGGATTATAACAGGAGTTAGTCACACCTTCTGAAGATGGGAGGTTCAGTTTAACTAACCCTGGGGGTACCACTTTGATATCTCTCTATCTCTCTTGACAAAGCCTATTTCCTAGTTTTGGTATCTGGGGCTCGCTCTCCAGGACCCAAGTCCTATTTGAATCCTATAGGCTAGGGATGACATTGGGTTTGTAGGAACAGCAGCAGTTGTTCACTCAGACCTGGGCTCAGAGTCTCACTTAGTCACAGCCCTGGTTATTTGTTCTGTGTAACCAGCCACCGCAGATAACCATTTATTAGCTCTCCATTGTCCAGATGAGACTTGGCTGGTGTCTTAGTTCGTTTGGGCTGCTGTAACAAAACAGCATACACTGGGTAGCTTAGACCTGGCAGGGATTTCTCACAGCTCAGAATACAGGGAAGTCCATAGTAAAGACAGGTTCAGTATAGTGTGAGGACCCTCCTCCTGGCTTACAGATAGCACCTCTCACAGTGCCTCACATGGTAGAAGGGACAAGCTAGCTCTCTGGGGTCTCCATTATAAGGGCACCGATCCCATTCACGAAGACTCTACCTTCAGATCCTAGTCCCCTTCAAAAGTTCCACCACCTAATATCATCACCTTGGGGGAGGGGTGAGGACGTTAACATATACATTGGGGAAGGGGAACAAAATCCTTCAGACTATGCCTAGCCACAAGGTCTCAGGGTCTCATACTCAGGGTGAGGGTCAGGCCGATTTGGCTCTTTTCTAGAGGCTCTTGGGAAAAATCTGCTTCCAAACTTACTCAAGTAATTTGCAAGATTTAGTACCTTGTTGAAGGACTGAGGGCTGTCACTGTCACTTGAGGGCTGCTCCCAGCTCCCAGATCTGCCCACATCCTTTGCCAAGGGGTCCCCTTCATCTGCAAAGCAATGGAAGATTTCTCCCTCATTGAATCCTTATTATGATTTGAATCTCTCTGACTTCTGGTCTCAAGACTCAGACTTACTAGGCTTGTGTGATGAGGTCAAACTCATCCAGCCACTCCCTTTCAAAAGTCAGCTATGTCTTAACACATAGCCAGCACACC